AAAAAAAAACTATGAACAAATTCCTATGCACACTGCACATATCTTATTTTGAAGTAAAAAAACAAAACGGGAACAAATACAATATTTGTATTTGCATGTGGCCCGCGGGCCGTAGTTTGAGGACCCCTGGCCTATACCTTTGACCTCTCTGCTCCTCTACTGCTCTTACTTTCTCAAGCAGGATCCACACTGGGGACTGTTATTTGGCCTTCCATTTCCATCCCACTTCCTTTTAGGTTCGAAAACGGAAAACTACTAAACTCCCTTGCAGCTAGGAATCTGTTCGGTTTGGAAGGCAGAGTAAGGTAGAGGCATCTCCCTGCTCTAGTGGCCGCGGGGAGACACGCTGACCAGTTGGAGTGACTAGACCAGCCTTACAACGCTGAGTCTTCAGCTTTGTAGGTGATGAGAAGCCGTGGTGGTAGTGGCAACAGCATTCTGATGCCCGGATGACAACCTCAGCCTATTGCTCTTGAACCCAGTGGTTCCGCTGTGGTCCCTGACTCACATTCCCCTGGCTCTTCCAAAGATTTGATAACTTGTTTCAAGTCCACTTGCATTCAGAATGCCTTGAGCATGGCCCAGACCGGCATTGAACCCTGAGAATGTGTAGGCAGAGCAGACGAAGCGGCTCTGGGGTCAGGGACGAGGCTGGGGATATTATGTGCTGGAAGGGAGGGTCTTGAAGTATGCGGAGGGGGAGGGGTCAGCAAACTCCCGCCTGGCAGGTGGGAAAGCCAGGCATGGCTGGGAACGGAACCCAGCACTGCCAGAAAGCAGTGTGGAGTGAGCAAGGGAACCCCTTTTGGGGGAGACTTGGGGCACCAAATGAAGCGTGGGATGCACAGAACACAAAGGGCAGCTGACAGGTAAGTGGTTTTGGTCTATTAATTTTTCTGATTATAAAAAACGCCCAAGCATTTCAGACATGGAGGCTCTTTGCCATCGCAAGCCAGCCTTTCCTCCCACCCCCTACCCCACCCCAGAGTTAAAACCACTGTGAATCGTTTGCTGATTTTTTTTTTAAGGCAGTCACTTCTGGCAGGTGGGAGAATGAAATAAATAACAAGCCCAGTAAAATGGGTTTGCAGAAATGATTCGAACAACTTGGTCGGGAGCCAGATTGTTTGAGATGGGAGACAGGAAGAAGAGTATACGTGGTTTCCTACTGTTTACCCAGGGAATGGGGAGTTAGGCATAAACATACATCTGCCTTAAAAATTCCCTCGGGGAGAGAACAGGCTGCAGGGGGAAGGGATGAAAGGGCGAGCCTCTGAATGGCCCTAAAGATTTGACTTTAGAGTTCGTATAATTATAAACCAGAAGCAATGCCTAGGAATCAAAAGGAAAAATGAAACAAACCTAACACTGTCTTCACTTGGTAGCACACCCATACAGAAAGGAGCTATTCCTAGTGACTTTAAGACACAATAAATTGATTATATAATCCCTAGTGAGTTTACCCTAAGCAAAAACACATTACGTTGTTCTCAGTGACCTCATCCTTGTTCTGAAACTGTCCTTTCTGTGTTGTGAGCTCAAGCAAAAGTATTTGGTATTGTTGAGAGCTGGGATTCGGGGCATGGGAGGAAGGAAATGCGAATGTAACGTTGCTGAGATTGGATAGAGAGTGTGGCGCTGAACTTGAATTAGAAGTACGGGAGCTTCCGTGTTGGTGACCATGGGGAGCTTCGGGGAGAGGGGGATGCCTGGAAAGGGCATGGGGCCCCTCACTTCTTCCCCTCTTCCATCTGGTTGTTCCCAAGCTATATCTCTGTAATAAACCTGTGATCTGGTGAGTTAAAGGTAGGACTGTGAACTGATATGAATTTTATCCCTAGTTCTGTCCACTGAAAAAACTCAGAAACAATGACCAATGGGAATGAGCACCACTAGCTCTCAGACTGTGGTTTCTAAACACCTTTTCCCACTAAAAGGACTGAGGTTCCTTTGAGAAATCGTGGGTTCCAGGTGAAGAGGGAGAGAGTGTGAGGGGAGTGTGGATATACACAGGCTGCTGGGACCGTGCCAGAGAGACTGGGCAGCGGCCTGGAGAAGTCCCAACTGGATGAACCTGGGCTGCTCTGAGCATCAGTGAGGGTGACTGCAACGAAGCAAAGTACAACAAATATAAATACAAACACAGAAGTTGCTCAAATCCATGAGTTCATAGAGATACACAAAACAAACTGACCCGCCCTGGCCGGTGTGGCTGAGTGGATAGAGCATCTGCCAGCTGCTGAAGGGTCCCAGGTTCAAGTCTGGTCAAGGGCATGTACTTCGGTTGCAGGCTCGATCCCTGGCCCTGGTCAGGGTGCGTGCAGGAGGCAACCAATCGATGTGTCTCTCTCACATCGATGTTTCTCTCTGTCTCTCCCCGTCCCTTCCTCTCTCTCTAAAAATCAATGAAAAATATCCTCGGTGAGGATGAACAACAACAAAAACTGATGTGTTTTGGAGGAATGTTGGGTGAAACCTCATCATTTGAAATCTGGCAAAGAAAGAAAAAGAATCAAGGCTTTTCCCTGCCTTTCCTCTAGGAAAGGAACCGGTATGCTTTCCAACAGTCCCCAGCCCGTATGTGAAGCAATAATAGAACGCTGCCATTTTCCAGCCCTCATTGAAGCGGCGCATCTAGGCCGTGACCACGAATGCCAGCATTACCAGAAATAGAGTTCAAAAGGGACATCCGGGCATTCCAAGCCTCCTGATGGGGAAACACCTACTATGCAGGAGTCTAGGAATAGAATGTGAGCCCTGCATGGAATGTAGCATTTTCTAGAGGCTATACTTTAAAAAGTGAAAAGAAACAGGCAAAATTGTTATATTATTTTAACTCGATCTAGCCAAAGTCTTACCATTTCAACGTGCAATCTATAGAAATTATTGAGAGTTAGCTTTTTTTGTACTAAGACTTCTCAACAATGCAATGCATAGTTTACACAGCGGATCGCCTAGATCAGTGGTCGGCAAACTGCGGCTCTTGAGCCACATGCAGCTCTTTGGCCCCTTGAGTGTGGCTCTTCCACAAAATACCGACTTCTGCCATGGCCCACGAAGTTTCAATCGCACTGTACGTGCGCGCCCGCATGTGGTATTTTGTGGAAGAGCCACACTCAAGGGGCCAAAGAGCCGCATGTGGCTCGCGAGCCGCAATTTGCTGACCAGTGGCCCAGATGCACGCATTTGGAATAGCCACCTTCCACATGAGGCAAGTGGTTGCCACTCTGCAGGGAACAAAGGGCAGGCGAACATGTGGGGTCTCTGGGTACATATTCCGCAAAAGCCGGACTGTAGCAGTGATGGCGAACCTATGACACGCGTGTCAGAGGTGACACGCGAACTCTTTTTGGTTGATTTTTCTTTGTTAAATGGCATTTAAATACATAAAATGAATATCAAAAATATAAGTCTTTGTTTTACTATGGTTGCAAAGATAAAAAAATTTCTCTATGTGACACGGCACCAGAGTTACGTTAGGGTTTTTCAAAATGCTGACACGCCGAGCTCAAAAGGTTCGCCATCACTGGTATGGGGCCCTCTTAGGCACATGACTTGGTAAAAACCGGTCGGAGGGGCGACCTATACACTAAAAAAGACTCAGAAATACCAAGAGTTGCAAAATAGGCATCTTTGAGTCTGATTTGAAGAAACTAAGGAATAGTCGTGAAAACCAGAGACATGGGAGCGCCACATGTTTGGGTGGCGCCCTTATCTTGCCTGCTGGAGCCCCTATGGGTGAAAGGATGGGGACCTGGGGTTTGCATCAGAGTACCCAGGAGGAGGTATGGCTGAAACAAGCCAGATCGGGGGTAAGCGTTGGTGCAGGTGATGGGTACATGGAGGTTTATGTGCTGGTCTCTCTACTCTTGAGTTCATTTGAAATCAGTGATTACAGTGTCAGCCTGAGCTCTGAAGGGTCGAGGGTTCAATTTCCGGTCAAGGGCATGTATGGTTCAGTGGTTGGGGCATGTTTGAGAGGCGACCAATCAATGTGTTGCTCACATCGATCTCTTTCTTTCTCTCTCCCTCCCTCCCTCCCTTCCACTCTCTCTAAAAAGCAATGGGAAAAATATCTTCAGGTACAAAATTATTTGATGAAATAAGATAATGCATGTGGAGCACCAAGCACAACGCCCAACAGGCATTGGGCACTAGGTAAATGTGTGGGCTGTTCCTTTAAAAAGAGGGGCCCTGAAATGAGCCTGTCCCCCCACACAGTTTGCAAGTTCTTTGACTAGATTTGTGTTTGTCTTATCGCTGCCTTTGGCTGAGAAAGCTAGGAGAGAAAGAAAACAAGCAAATGGCAGGACTTCTCTGTGTGCGCCAACTCTGTAGTTTTTAATGGTTTCAACATCCAAAAATCAAAAACAAAGTTGCTGAATTTGAACAAGAACAAATGCAACTTTGTATCACACTGCCATTACCACACAGAGTAAAGGATGAACCAAAGTTTTGACAATAGTACACAGTGTACATCTTTAGTGGAATATATTCTAAGAACAAAAATAGCTGTGAACTTGAATTTTACTTAGTAAATCTCCTGTAGAGGTATTTGTGTTGTAATTCTGAAAGAGTTGTATATGCATTGATGACAGGGCAAACGATAAGTATATTGGTAATGTTAGAAACCACTGTGGCCCTAGCTGGTGTGGCTCAGTGGATAGAGTGTGGGCCTGTGGACTGAAGGGTCCCGGGTTCGATTCTGGTCAAGGGCACGTACCTTGGTTGCAGGCTCCTCCCTGGCCCAGGCCCTGGTCAGGACTTGGGCAGGAGGCAACCCATCGATGTGTTTCTCTCACATCAATGTTTCTCTCTTCTGATACAGACATGGGCTGTGGGGAAGGGAGAAAGAACCTTGTGTTGGGTTTGAATTGCCAACTTAAGATTTAAACAAAACAGACACAATGTGCATTTCCAAGCTCCGCCCACTAAACGGCCCTAAGAAGCATTGACACGCGCTGGCAGACCTCCCATCCGGTGGGAGCGTACAGCATCGCCTCTGCAAGGTTCTTGGCAAAAATGTGTCACCTGAATCCAGCCACGAGGAGACAGATCCATCCAGAATGGGGAACTCTGCGGGACAATTGGCCTGCCCTTTTATTTTTTTATTTTTTAATCAGTGGCATGGAAAACAAAAGCGGGAGGGAATGTTCTAGATTAGAGAGGTCTGAAGAGACAAGGCAACCAAACACAATGCATGAACCTTGCTAGAACCCTAGATCAGGGAAAAAATAACTCTAAACACTTTAGGGACGACTGGGGAATTTTTAAAAATCAGTTTTATTGAAGTATAATTTCTATACAATAAAAGACACCCATTCTAAGTGTGCAGTTCTGTGAGTTTTGACAATTTTACACCCAGGTAACCACCACCCCCAATCAAGACTTTCACATTTCCGTCGCCCCCAAAAGTGCCCTGTGTTTCTTTGCTTTCAACAGCCCCCTCACCCCAAGCAACCCCTGATGTGGTTTCTACCATTATAGACTCAATGAGGAAATTGAAATAAAAACGATAAATTAGAGGGTATTATTGAATAAATGTAAATTTTCTGAGGAGTAATAATGGCATTGTGGTTATGTAGGAAAATGTTCTTATTCTTGGGCGATGTGCGCGCGGTGCTTGGGGGTGAATTACGATGTCTGTGATTGGCTTTCACATGGTTCCGAAAAGAGTGAACACACAGAGGTAAGAGCAGGGCAAAACGTTAGCAACGGGCAAAGCTGGGGAAAGCGTACATTCAACTGTTCTTGCAACTTTTCTATGGGCTTGAAATTTTTCAAAATAAGAAGTTGAGGGCAAAAATGTCATTTTCACCTCAGACTTTTCTCAATGCATCTTGTAGCTGCTTCCTGAGAGAAAGATGAAACAAAGACAGGTGAAAACATTCATTGCCTCGTCACTCTTCTCCCTTTTCTGAAAGGTATTTAGATTCTGTCAAAAACGGAAGGCCTGCCCAGCTGGCGTGGCTCAGTGGTTTAGAGTTGACCTGTGAACCAGGAGGTCACAGTTCGATTCCTGGTCAGGGCACAGGCCCGGGTGGGGGGCTCGACCCCCAGTGTGGGGTGTGCAGGAGACAGCCGATCCATGATTCTCTCTCATCATGGATGTTTCTTTCTCCCTTCCTGTCCCTCCCTCTCTGCAATCAACACAAATATATTTTAAATACATACATACGGACAGACAGACCAGCACATCGGGGATTGATTTCAACATATGAAATTTGGGGGGAGCACAGACTTTCAGTTCATACGCCCTCCTTCCCAGAGCCCTCGGTTTGGACAAATGGGAGGACGGGTGTCAGGCTGAGCAGGCAGGCAGAACCAAGGCGTAGGCCGGGGTTGCTGGGCCGGCGGGGAGAACAGGCTGTTCAGACCTGCCTTGGAGAGTGTATGTCCCGCAAGGCCCCACTGCCTCCCTCCGCAATCCACCCCCACGCTCAGGGCTCGGGCTAAGGCCACACTTTCCGTGGGCTGTTCCCAACCAGTGACCAGCACGCAGGGCGCAGGCCGGCTCATTCCCCCGCCTGTGGGCTCCTCCAATGGGAACCTGGCTCCAGGCTCCTCCTGGCCCAGCTGGGACTGCACTGCAACTATGTTGCAGTCTGAGCATCTCCTTCCCACTCCTTCCTTCCTCTCTTCCACAAGTGGCAGTCAAGGTCAAGGTCGGAGGGCTTCCCTTCCCTTCCCTGCCTCCTCCAATGACTCACTGTTTTTTGGTCTAGTCACATACTGTGAAAGGGGACTGGGGCCA